TGTGAGGAAGAAATTAGGTTAGATACCAGTGAGAAATTCTCTGTGAGGGTGGTGAGACTCTTGTAGAGAGAAGCTGTGGCTGACCCATCCCTGGAAGTGTCCAAGGCCAGGTTGGATGGGGCTGGGAGCAAGCTGGGATAGTGGAGGGTTTTCCTTGCTCATGGCAGGGGGTGGGATGAGATGATCTTTAAGATGATCCTTCCAACCCACCAGTCTATGATTCTGTGATCCTGGAATAAGCACTGGAAAGACCCAACTGTACGAACATGGGCTTCTAAGTGTAGAACAATATATACCATCACTGAATAAAAACTGCTTTCCTGTTTTTGAAATTGAAATGGAATGGATGAGCCCAGTAGAAAATTGCTTTCAGAGAAATCAACACTGTTTGATCAACATAGAATTTGGTAGGCTAGAGTACAGATGCTCTTGACAGGGAGAGAGTCTTTCTTTCTGATTTTCAAAGCTGTCTCTCAGTCCATTGAGGAATTAAACTTTCTCTCTGCTCCTTCTCTGATCATTCTATGAAAAGAGATTCAAAAACCCCTAAACTAATGTGATATAGAAAGAGTAAAGTATTTGGATTGAATATGAATTCAATCCAAATTGACATATGAATGCAAATTTACATATGAATTAAGTTTTTACCTTTTTCTCTTACATTTTAACATAATATTTTTTCATGTTAGCCTTAAAAGCAGGAAAGTTCTTGAATTATTTCTGGGACAGAGTAGTGATACAACATAGCACAGTGTCATTTTGTAAGAAGAACTGGCAGTTTTAGCAATTATGAATTTTTTACTGATTTTATTAGTTCTGAAAAGACAGAGGTGTCAATATAAAACGTAAGAACCCAAACAGTGTTGAATTTATGCACACAATAAATGCTAAACAGTTGCAGGACTATTTCTAAGCATTTTACTCTAAATATAAGCATAATATTTTTCTGTGCACAGTGATAAGATCATCAATTTAAATAGTTCCAGTGAAGAATAGCTATTATGCTTTTAAATTTAATTAAAATATCCACACATAGTAGTATAAACTTTTGCAAATATCTTGGTTTGAAGGACAGGTGTCTGCCAAGGAAGGCAGGAACCTCCCTTGGAATAGACAATATGACCCTCCCTCCCTACCTCCAAATTATTGTAACTTTGAAATTAAGGGGCTTTCAGGCAAAGATATAGGAAAAGGATTGTGAAAAACAAAGGTCACTCTTTAGAATTTTTAAAAGTTTAATAAAGGAATATAAAAGGACAATGTCCAGTGCTAGTGTGTTTCTGGCTGTTGGCCAGAGAACACACTATTAGATTAAGACAGTATTATCTATATACTGTTACATTTCTGAGGTACATGCCTATTCATGGGTTTCATACATTATTCAAGCATTCTTGTAAGCTTTTTGATGTTTCAGGAACTCTTTTGTTTGATTTTACACTCTGACTTATCTGCATGATTTCCTGTGGATTAGGTCAATATGTTTTATTTCTTCTTGTGTTTCCATCCTGTTGTTTCACACTCCCTGATAAGGAATTAACAAGTTATTCTCCAATTATTTTCCAGTGTTCTGGTTTGTGTCACTGTTATTACTTGGAGAGGTCAGTCAGCAGATGTGGGGGAAATAGCATAATTGTTTTACACCATTCTAATAGTTACATAAAAACATTTTAACATTTTGTGTTTTGCTAAGGCCTATGATATAATACATTCATCACTCTATTATTTCTACAATAACATACATATTTCTACATACACAGATATAATATATTCATCACACTACTATTTCTATAAGCTATGTGGTGCAAAACTAATAGATTGTGTTATACTAATGAGCAGCTAAAAGGAGTTACAAATGGTACCATATCCAAATACTTATAATCAATAACGACATGTAAAACCTAATACATAAATGCAGAAGCCAATATTATGTTGTCATTTTAAACAGGATTAACAGTTCTTTACTAGTATATATGTGTATAACAAGACAAACAAACAACACCACCTCAGTGGAGGCAAATTGTCCCCACAGGGATTGCAGCCTCTCCCCTCTCTGAATGCTGAGAGCACAAGAGAGAGCCAGCAGCTGCACCCAGCCTCTTTTCCCCAGCCCGTGGTATCTCTGCCTTCCCAGAGAAACCTCCAGGTAAAAAGAGAGAGTAGCCAGCTGCACCCCTCCCCTGAGCTGTGGCAACTCTTTTGTCTCAAGTACCCAGTTACTGTCTGCTAGCAACATGTATGGGGGAAAATTCCCTGAGAAAAAGAAACAAAAGGAAGAATCCTAAACCCCAACAGTAAACTTGCATTGAACTTTTCAAAGTAATAATCCTTTAATTTTAAATATTAATTTACCAACCTGTGTGGCATCAGCATTCAAATTCTTTGGGTTTTTTCTCAAGTTGTCAAATTATTTCAGCAGAGAGAAGCCCAAAGAGCCAGAGCCATGTGTGTACTCTCACTGTCAGTCTCAGTGTCTACTTGCTGATTTTCACCAGTGTATTGCCAATAAAGAATGGCAGGTCAGTAAAGAATATGAAAAGAAAATATGCCAAATGGCTGAAACCAAATGATTTCTGTGCTGTGTTTCCAGGAGTGGCTCCATGGCCATACAGCTGATAATCCTGAGCCTACCCAGAAAGGTGTCTATGAGACAGCAAGTGCCTGATCCAAAGGCAGGAGCCTTTTATTCATGTGTGAGCAAAGTCTAGCAGACCTTTCCTCTGCATGAGGGATGCCTAGAAAGATGTAGGTAGTTGGCTGGGGGAGAGTGAGTGCTCTCAGTCTTTGGGAATGTGTCCTGAATATCGAGCCTGAAAACAATGCAGAGGGATAAAGAGGGGAGCACATTTTCCATGGAGGGTAAAAGAAATTTTGATCTGAAGATGTCTGGTGTCATTAAGCTGGGCAATAAAGTAGGTTAACACAAAACTACACGTTTGACCTGAAAGTGAGACATCAAGGAGCAAAGCTGAAATTGCAGTTCATTTTTCCTTTGTTCCTGGTAGAAAATGAGGCACCTTTCAGTTTTAAGTTGCAGGGAAATTTGGGTTTCTGGCAGTAAAATATACTCTGTGCAGGTTTGAAATCAATGTACTTTCAGTTACACTCTTCATTGTGTTTGTCACTCCCCATTTTACTTCTCAAACTTTCGTGTCTTTGGGTTCTATTCTATCCACAGAATGCAGACTGCATTGGACTGGAAAACACATGTTCTGGCACATGCAATAGGCATTTTCCAAGGTCACTGCCTTCCTGAGGGAGCTTTGCTCATAAAAACTATTATTTCTAACAAATAAAATATCTGGAATGTGTTGTAACACAGCAATTTTTTTCACAAACAAACCATGATTTATAAAGCAATCATATTAATGTTTTAATTTTAATACATCATTCCTATTAATGCATGTCACATTATAATGCCTTTATAAGTACTCTGAGAATCTAAAACAAGACACTTAGAAAACTAAAGGAAATAAATTATGGTCTGTTTAAGAGCAATATGCTGACATACCTGAGTACATGTAATTGTGGTGTTGTGTGCTCTTTAGTGGTTCTCAAGCTCCTTACCTAACCCAGGAGTCAGAATTTATTTTAATGTGGGAAGGAACATCAGGCCTTGTGGTATGGAAAAAACCCCTTTGAGGAAGATAATAAAAATAAATAGTCAGCCAAAGAAAGAACAGAAGAAAAGAGTCAGACAGCTGAGAAATCTATGTTTTGTCTAAAACTATAGAACTGAAATGATAAGTATCAAAATTCAAGCTGAGATAGATCTTTAGAGGATGTTAAAGTGAACAGGAAAAGTTCTTAGTTTTTTTAATTTTAAAAAAAGTAAGAAGTGATCTTCTGTGAAATAAGAGTGGGGTGGCTATCAGAGATAATCCAGCTGTAGCTGTCAAGCTAAATTATTACTTCATCATTTTTTCTCAGCAAAGACAATACTGTGGATATCATTAGGAAAGCTTTTTAAGTCCCCTGTGTGATGTTCATCTGAAATTTGTCATATAATTCTTGTCACTTGGGAAAGACATATTCAGGTTGGAGCAGAATAAAGAACACCAATGTCAGGGGAGAGATAGAAGGTGAGACCTGTTTACAAGCAGTGGAGCATGGGCTGGGAGGAAATGTGGTTATTGCCTGGAGTGCTTTGGGATGATAAATAATGCTGAAGGAGAAGCACTGCTTCAGCTGAGTGATGCTGTCACAAGAACAAATTTGTACAAAATGAAAATGGCTTTCAGTCTGGAACTGGGAAAATGGGTTGCTAGTTGTCAAATCAGTGAGCAGTAGGAGCATGAAATAGAAAAAATCTAACTGGTTTTTAAGCTAAAGCTTGACAAATCAGTGGAAGGATTATCTGGTGTACTTCCTTGTGACGACACAGGATTAGAATAGATAATGCAGAAGATGTCTCCCAGTCCATGTCCATGTGTGAAAATTGCTAATCTTGTCTCTTCCCTCTCTTTTCTCCTTTGGCACCTAAAAAGGAATGGGTTTAAATAGATGCTGTCCTATCATGACTGTTGAACTGGACAAGGCAAATGCAGGATTCTTTGTCTTAGTGTGAAATATGTCAGATGAGGACAGCAACCTCTTCCTGAGCTGAATGATGGAAAACGTGTGTTTGCAATGTGTTTTGTTTTGCAGATCAAGTAGTTTGATCACTAGTACAAATTAGCATGGTTTAACACGTCTGAAGCTGTTCTACCCAGTTGTCATAAAAATGCTCATAGGATTTTATGTATTCATTAACTGATTCTGTTGCAGTTTAACTTCCCCAATTTTACTCCTTTTTATTTGTTTATTCATTACAGCTACTTAATTGGGGGTAAAAGGAGAATAACAGAATCATAAATAATAACCCCAGTTATAGATACTCCTACTGATATCAAACTTTGATATTTCAGTAGCAATAGAGGCAAAATATTGAATATCCTTTAGCTGGAAGGTAAAAATTAGACCAAGAATGTATCAAATATGATTAATTCAGTCTGTTTTCTGGAATGTTTCTATATTCCTTTAAAAAGAATGGTATCATTCATGTAGATATAAGTTAAAATCTTACCAGTTCACTGTCTTCAGTGCTGAGTAACCTTTAGTATGAGCATGACATAGCCTCTGTTTGGCTTTCTGTATAGTGGAATTTGGCTGTGGGGTGGTCATGGCAGAAACACCAGCCTTGTCTGTACAGACAGCGTGGGTGAGGCTGTCATGAGTCAAAGAGCAAATGAACTTGAGTGCAGCAATATGTACTTTATCAGAGGGACTAAGGGATGTATACCTACAGATCTTTAGGTTAGGCAAATCATTCTTGTATGCCTTGTCTATTGTGTTTTAATGTGATCTTAGTGTAGCAGTGGTTCTGAAAGAGAGTATCAAAGAAAGCTTAACTTGGTTAAAAACATCTAATTTACATGTGTGACAAAGCAGATGCCCAAAGTGCTTGTGTTCTAACAAATTCCAAAAATAAAGCATGAAGAGTTTGAAAGCATGCTATTTGCAAGACTACTAGGGAAAGCAGGCCTGTTTTCTTCCACAGCTGAATGCTCCAGGAGGACTTCAGTGTTCCCTGTCTGGAGCTGAGCAGCACCACCATCATTTGCATATGACTTTCTGAGCTCTGCCTTATCATTTGCCTAGCTTTCTACAGGTAACATGTGACTTGACAGTGCAGTTTCACAGGGTGTTCTGGGTAGTAATAGGAGATAGAGGTAGCCCCAAATATCAGGAGATACACGCCATTCTTTCAGATATCTGAGGTCCTATAAGTAACTGAGGATTGTCTTTACAGAGTATTGTCAATTTTGTTCACCAGGTGTTGACAATTCTGGAAAGAAGGTGATTACCTTCAGTTGCTGCCACATGCCCCCCTCCCACCAGTTCAATCACACAAGGTTGCTTGAGTAAGTTGCTTTTAATCTCCTGCATGGACTACTTTACACTTTATATGAGAACTTCTGTTAACTTGCTTCCAGGGGAATGAGCTTTCAGGGAGAAGAAGCAACAGGCAGGGAGTGAAATGAAGAGGATGTAAGAACTACTAATGCTAAGTAAATGAGATGTGGATTAAACTGGCAGTTAACCCCCCTAGAGTTTCTACTGGAAGAAGCAATTCACTGTGTACTTGCTGTCTTGATTTTATTGACAAATTCTTATTGTATTAAAAAAAAAATCATGATGTGGACCAGTGAAAGAGAAATTCTAGTAATTTAGTGCTGTGTACATATGTTCTCATGAATAGCTGTGTTTGCTTTAATTTGGCATACTTTACTAAATCACTCAGGAAGAGTGTTGTTTAGTTATTTGCATCTTAGTGGGTTTTCTGTTTTATAAAATTACCTATATTTTGTTCAATACATTATGCTTAATATTTTTACATGTATATAATTTTGGGGTTTTGCATTAAAAGTGCTTGCAAATATGTAAATTAACAACATTCTTCCTTATAAACTTGCTGCAGCAAGGTACCAGGACATGTTTCTGCCTTGTAGTTTGTCACTGTAAGATCTGTTTTGTCTTGAGAATCCTGTCCTTATTAAGCATTTTAAACCTATTTGGAGTTCTTGTACAGCCTCTATTGCCAAAATGTTTGAGTACCTTTCAGACACCACCATTGGAAAGGACAAAAATTTTGTTGTTTCAACTTCTCAGAAATGGAGAGGGATTAAAAAATAGGTTACTTAATAAATTATTTTGAGTGTGTCGCTTCATTTTTTATGTTCTTCACAGCACATTTTCCTGTATCTGAGCCCACATCAAGTTCACTTGGAAAATCTGTCCTATGAGAGAACTGAAGGTAAGTTTTAAATGTGAAGGTAGCAATAGCAAGTGATCTGGTTTTAAGTAATTAGATTCAGATGTTGAATTCTGAGAAAAAGCTGTAGGAAAAGAGTAGGCCCTGATTGCAAGGTATTTTGTGAAGTAATTTAAAGAATTGATTTGGTCAAGCTTTTGTAACATCCCTGTAATTTTGTAACAGTCTTGGAACAGGTAATTGACTGTAGAAAAATATTGGTTATTGTATGTTCCCAAAATACTCTGTTATTTTTAAAAATAATGTTTTTTGGATGTAATGTAACAAGAAATATAAATACTGTAAAATTAAACACAAGGCACTCTGTAACAAAGTCCGTTTAGGTATACTTTAATTTAAAACGCTTAAAAAAGTGTTGATTGACTGTCACTACTACTTTTTCCATCAAAATACCACTAGTATTTACATCAGGGATCAAAACAACATTATATTAATTGCAGTCTAAGATTTACAGTATGCTGAGGGAATAAGATAAATGAGACTGTGGGAGTACAGGGTAAGAAGTGAGAGGCTTTTCTATGCAAAGGGAGGTAGTCATAATGTTCATACTTGCAGATAGTCACAACCCAGTACATGGCACATGGAACTGTCTACTTTATTGAATGAAAATCACTTACATGCAGTTAAGAGCAATAGTTAGGACTGTTGCAGAATAAGAAGGCAGCATTGAGAATAACATGAGAAAATTGATATCTGACACAGCAAGAAATGAGGCTAGATTGCACTGCTCCATCATTGTTTTATTTGAGTCATTGAGCTGTGTAATAGGCCATCCTGTGTTCTCAATTATAGAAGAAAGGGAATGAAAATAATCTTAAACTATACTGTAAAAGAATGAACACACAGCAATCTTCTTATAAATCATGCAGTACTATTTCAAGAGGGGATACATCATGTAGTGCTTTAAATTAAGGGAAATCATATACAAACTCAGTCCTCACAATGCAAACAAGGGAAAAACAAATACATTCAAGAAGAGCAGTTTAATTAGGGGTAATGGATTTTCAAGGATTTAAAAACTTTTAAATTGAGAGGAAAGCCCAAAACAAATTCTTCATTGTTTTGAAAATGCAAAATGACATTGTTTGCTTGTCTAAAAAGAAGACTTTACAAAGACTGAGAAAAGCAAAATAAAAGTTGCTTTTAGTTAAAAGCATCTCTTAAAAAAGTTCTTGGCAAACACAGTCCCATATTGTCTTCATTTTTCAGTGATTCATGAGCACTGTAGTTTTTGTAACTAAATGTTTTCTTTAAAATTTCAGGCATTGCAATGATGTGGAATTATTTGCCACTAGAGCAAGATTAACTTCTTAGATAAATATTTTGAAGCAAACATGAATTTGCAGTTGTGGTGGTTTTTAGCACTAGCCCAAAATCACCAGAGTACTTACTTATTTCTTGCTGTGAGATATAGAGTAGGAGAAGGGCAAAACAGGCTTAAAACTTAAAAGGAATAAAGAGACTTTATTAACAGGACTACAAGAATAAGAAACCAGAATAAAACCTCCAGAAACCTTTTCTCCCCACCTCCCCCAAACTTTTTCCTTTCCCAACTGACACCATAGAGACAAAACTTGGGATGTTAAAGCAGTACCAACTATACAGTAGTCTTTCATCAGTCTCTGTAGGGAGAGTTCTCTCTTGTCATTCCATGGAGAGTTCTCCACAAAAAAACAGTTTTCTCATGGTTTTTCATCTCTGATTGGCAGCCACCTGAGAATAAACTCTGCTATCATGCTCTCCTCTCATTATCACACCACTCAGAGGGGTGTCCATGGGCCATGAACTCAAGGGGTATTATTTTAAGGATGAGTTATTAAAAGGCAAAGGTTCTCTTCATCTGTTTCTGTGATCATCTCTGGGAACAGAGGTTTACTTCTTCTCTCCTTTGGGGCAAAGGGTCTTCATCAGCTCTCATCTCTGTTCAAGCGTCTCATAGGGCCACAGATACTCCACCATGTTTAGTTAGCTTCATCAATGGATACCTTTGCTCAGACCTACAGTTTGAAATACTTAATTCTCCCCAATACTCTTTCATGAATTAAAGGAGTTTTTCAGAACATTATTGTCTATCTCCATGGCCTTACCAAAAGAATATTTCAGCTTATTAAAGCATCTTCTCATTCTCCTTCTATCTGGAGCTTGACTCTTTCTCTTACTGACTTTGATGTTTCATGTTGTCTTTTATGTGCTGATTTCTCACTTCCCTCTCTCTGGAGAGGAGCCTTAAGTCTGCAGGTCTCATCTGTGTAGTGAAAGGGTTAAATCTGGCCCAAGCCACAGCAGGCATTCATGGTGTCAGAGTTCAGGTGTCTCTCTCAGCCCAGCAGCTGCAGGGAGAGCAGAGGGTTTTCTACCTGGAGCTGTCTGTGCGGGTCATGTGGGGGGTGAGAGGGCATCAGCGAGATGTCAGCAGCTGTGGCCCAGCCTAGCCTAGGGCTGGGGCCCCCCTGGAAAAGGCTTCAGCCACCCTGCTGGAATAGGACCCAGAGGGAGGCCGGAAACAAAGACACAAGCAGTTCCTGGGCTTGGGTTTAAAAGGTAGCATTCACAAAGGTGGTCTTACTTTTCAGTGGTCTAAAATGCTGTCAGTTCTCAAAACTGGCCAGCTGTTAGTGTGATCTCAACCTGAGAAGAAATTCCCAGCAGCCTCTCTCAGAGAAATCACTTCTGTAAATGTTTTCCACTTTTTCTAAATGCCAAACTACCACAGCAGTCAGTAGCATTCTGTGCAAAAATAGCACAGAAATTTTCTTTCCCAGTTACTGCTTCAAAAATCTCATCCAGTAAACTGACTTAAAACCAAAATGTTATTTTTCTCCTCAGGTATTTAAAGTATACTCTGGGCCAGTATGTAGAGAATTATTATACAGTTGTCTACTTTCACTATGGCCTGAAGAGCCTGAATAAACCATCTCTGAAATGGCTACAAACAGCCTGCAAGAAATTTGACAGGTAGTAAGTCTCTAAAAGATCTGGTTTACTCTTCAGATTGTGTAATGTCTATAACTAACTTCCACGAGGGAAGTTAGGTGAATCTGTCCTGATCCACCTTCAATAAACTGAGTTCACTTTGCCATTGCAAATTCTTGTAATGATGTCAGTGGTCTTGGTTCTTTCATTAGGTGTCTTCTGTACCGTTCTGAGGAATGGCCTGGGCGCTGCAGTTGTTATCCAAAGGTAAGAAAGGTCATGGAATGTCCTCAGTACATCCAAACACAAGTTGTGTTTGGATGTACTGAGCTTTGGAGTCCTGATGGCTACAGTTCAGGACTTCATGGAGTAGCTGGTTAGGGTGTAGCTGAGGCCAAAGCTCTTGGATAAATTTCATTTTAATAGTGGAGACCAGAATTGTGATGTTTGCTCCCTGAAAGTGTGAAGTTACCAATGGAGCAGCCAGTCCCTATTAAAGTCAGTCTTTTACTTGTCAGCATGTTGTAACTTGTTTGTAAGTTGCCATCAGGAAGGCAACATGACTGAATATGGGTAGTAGGATGCATCTGTTCTTTCTAGGGCTGCATAAAGGAGATGAGAGGCAAAGGTCTGTTACATTTTGTCTTTGACAAGAGGTTTGGACTGCAATACTGGGGTTTGACATGCACTGACAATTCCAGAGCAAAGCATTGCACTGTTCTCCTTTTGGGAGATTCTTAAGCTAGATTTAGAATTGCATTGTGGGGAGAAGCAGTACAAGGTCAGTGTCTTTTTTTTGTTGCCTACAAGTGCATGATGAGACTCTCATTTATTCCAAAAATCTGTCTCTGCTCCCCCACCCTGACCCAGAAAACACAGAACAAATGGAACATAGAGGCTCAGGTCACCAGGCAGAACCTGTCATTTCATTAACAGTTGGAACTTCTTGGCATGCTGTCATTGACAACTCAAAGCAAAATTCCCAGCCCAACATGTATGGGGTACTGTATTAGCCTGAAGGAAAAAACCAAAACAAACAAAAATAGCCCTGCCCTTTTCAGACTTCTGGGGTAAAAGGAAAAAGAGGACAGATGAGACTAATTAGCCAGCATCATGAAAGCAAATGCTGAGTAGTAGAATTTTCAAAAGAAAAGATCTTGCTTTGAAGGTTGACAGCAGAGGCTCAGTAGAGCATTTTGGACAGGGTAATCTAGGAAACTGAGGAACGTAAACTTCAAGGTGCTTCAAGGTGCAAAACACAGTTAAAATAGAAACATTAATAAAGCAACTGAGGTGTTTCGCTTGCTAGTTTTTATTGTGGCTTTTGGGCTCTTAGGCAAGTAGTGCCAGTTGCACAAGGATAGTTGTTTGCTTGTGTGGCAGTGGCTTTATGAACACACACAATACCTGTTTCATTCACAAGTGTACGGGCCCAATTAAAACCCGAAAGGAAAAATTAATGTAATTCCTGAGTTTCCTGATTCCCTTTTCCCCCTCTTAGCATAACCTGTTACAAGATTTTTATTAAGTTCATGATCATATTTCATTGTCAATGATCAGGATCAGGATATTACAATATGCATGTCTCAATTTCATTTTGCAATAACGTTGAATAAGAGAAGAGTCTTTTTGTGCTGCCTGGTTTCCATTTCAGTTTCAGCCAACTAAAATCTATTGTTTAGATATCATGAACTGACACTAGAATCATGCAAAGCAATAGTGAAAGAAGGTTTTGTCTCATAAGAAGAGACAATACAATATCAAGCAACTAGCAGCTGGCTTCACCCCTGGTAATTACTAGCAAAGCAGGACAAAATTAGTGGTAAAATTAAAGAATCATGTATAAATTCTATATCTGAAAGTTTTAATTTTTTTTCCAACATGCAAGTCCTGCAAGCAGAAAATAAAGGGATATGAAAAAAGTAATGTTTTTAATCAAAGACTTCTTTATAGATCCTTCATTCTCCTATCAATATTTTTTTTCAAATTGCCTAATTTCTGTTCTGTCTACCTGACATTAAATCTGTGAGAGAGCAGACACTGGTTAGGAACATAATTCATTTGGCCTATTGTCAAAACTGACCACTTTTAAAAATTGGCTTTCTTTGGTCGGTTTTGGTTTGTTGTTTTTTTTTTTTCATTTTACATTCCATTTCTTCTGAATTAGGTCTTTTTAATGTACTTGAAAAGGATACTGTGTAATATGCCTGTAATAATAACTTTCTATTCAATTGTAGCCATTCAGTTCTACCATCTCTAGCACTGAACATTTTTCTAACAGCTTTGTTTTCTTTTCCTAGGTAAGGCATTGTATGTTGTTCATCCAACCAACTTTATAAAAATTCTGTGGAATATCTTTAAACCTCTTATAAGGTGCTTGGCAGTTCAATGAACACATTGTTCCCATTTAGTTCAAGGATGGTTTGTTCTCTAATAAGTTGCTTTTAAAAAGGCTTGAAGTAAAATATGTCAGGTACCAGTAAAATATGTCAGTCCAATACCCATTTAAACTCTTGAACTAATGAGTAAGGTGAGCTTAAGCTTGGAAATGAATAGGGTAGAGTTATTTTCTTTCCAAGAAAAGGGAGTCTCAATTCCTATTAGTTTTACTGCTATGTTAAAGTAAATATGGCTTTTAAAGCATGGTTATTCTGTGGACTACGACTTTTTTGTTGTATTTGACAGCCCTTAAAGAAATGGAACTGTGTGCATGACTGGAGTTACTGGGTGGTGCAGTAAAGTGGTTGATGAATTATTAACTTTTGGGCTGATCAGAAGTTGGTATGAATAGGACTGACATTACTTATGTTCTCAAAGTTAATGGATAATCCCTGAAGTGCCCATAGGAATTTGAAAAGGAGGATATAATGGTAAAGGTGATGTTTGATTTACTGGGTGTTCTTTTCCTTTGCATGGTCAAAAATTGGTACTACCACCAAGGAACCATTAGCAACAGGCAGACACCGCTCAGTGCAAGAATGGTGGGGCTTGCTCAGCTTCTGTTTCTCAACTTTGGTCACTTTCAAAGAAATTCTGACATTTTTCAAATCATATTGTGAATATTTTTGGGGCTGCAGAATGGAAACAGCTAATCTTGAGAAGCCATAAAGAACCAGCCAAAAAATTCCACTACAGTAACTTGCAATCAATTCAGTTTCTGAGGGCTAGGAAACTAATTAAGTAGAAAAGGGAAATTTAACTTCTAGACAGATCAGGACAACTAAGGTGCATGTGAAAATTTTTTTAAAAGTAATTCTAGCTGAAAATCATTCCAGAATATGCTGTTATTGAAACTAGAAAACTCTAGGTCTTTATTTTAACTGGCAGTTAAATAAATGTCACTGGACACAGGACACTGGTCCAGGACACAGAGCAGTGGTGGGAAAAGTGTGACAGATGCAGGATGTCCAGTACCTGATGGTGTCTCAGGAATGAAGATAGATTTATTTTTGTTATTGGTTGGTTTATTCCTGATTTGCTTTAAGATAAGTATGGAAACCTTCTAGAAAAAAAAGCCCAGACCAAAAATTTAACAAAACAGAAAAATTCATGATGGACATGACAATACTCTGGTGAAACCATCTTTTTTCTCAGAGTTAGCTCTTTTTTCTCAGAGTTAGCTGAGAGCTCCTTGGGAACAGCTGCAAGAAGATGCTTTTGGGACACCAGTGATTTTCAGCCTGTGCATGTTAATTCCCTCAGTGGAGCCACAGGTAGACAACAATGGTACTATTTGACTTACAGCAATAATTGCCTGCTAATTCTTAAAAAATATGAGATTGCAGCTACCCATTGCAAATACTTGTTTTCCCTGGATCTTACTATGTCTAAATTTATTTTTTTGGGGGAAAGTATGACACACTGGCAGTTGAAAAATGAGTGATCCTGATACATTTAAGCGTTAATGTCGAGCATAAATAATTCAAGCGATGCCTGCCATCTTAGATGCATCATTACCTTGACCTTCTGATCACCCTGTTTTCATCACAATTGGTTGTTTCTGGTTGTACTCGACTTTTACCACTGTGTACCTCAATACTTGTTTTGAGTGTAATTTAGTAACACTCTACTCTCTGTTTTATAAATCTGTGACCAACAGCAACAAAGCTGTTTGTACACTGGGACTGGCAAAATAATTGGAAGCATGAGTAAACTCTGAAAAGGTCCACAACCAGAAAGCAGGAATCAGCTGAAGCTAGGGATAAACCTTCTTTTCTACTTAAAATTGTTTCATAGCCAACCATGCCTTTGCTTTTCAGACTGACTGTAGTTTGGGTTTGTCAAAAAAGTTTGGGTTACTAAGTGTGAAATAGCCCCTGTACAATTTGTACAAATTATACTTTCATCAAAGTCTAAAACTAATTAATATTGTTAATTTACTAGGGTAGTGCAATTTAAATTTTTTCATAGTATCGTTTCATTTTAGTTTAAATTAATTTTATCTTGGCAAACATGCTGTTAAATGTCAATATTAATCCAATTCACAAAAATAAGGGAGAATAATCCTCTAGACTTTCTGTTTCCTAGATTTGCTGAACTGTAGCCCAGACTCATTTTTAGATAGTGGTGCCAATAAAAATAGCAGATGTAAAATAAATTTCATTATTAAGAGACATGTATTTATTTTTCAGTGGTCTGTTAGTACATTTGGTACCTGTTAGCACATCTTCTTTCCAGTCCCAAAAGAAATGAGCAAGAAGGTAATGTGTTAAGTCAAGAGTATTTTCTCTAAAGTGCAAGATAACAGTAGGAAGACCGTATTTTTAATATAGCTAACAGAACCTGTTTTGAAAATAATATACATTTAGGTGGCAGTGGTGATGTAGCATTTTTAAGGATCAGCACTTATTCCTAATTGCCCATGACTTTTTTACATATTGTGGATTCTGTGACATGAAGATGTTGGAAGTTCGGGCTCTTTTGGATAAAAGACACTCTGGGGAGCTCTGAAACTCTGCATGCACAGAAAGATATTCCTAGTGTGTTCCAAAATTCCTGCTAGCAAAATTCAGAGAAGTGACTGCTTGTTCCATGTACCGCTAGAGGGAGCATGCGGATTGGACAATCCAGGGACAAATTCATCCATGACAGAGTTTTTCCCAAATTTTTCTATAAAAGTAAGCTGAAGCAAAGTACACTACTACTACTACAGCACCTACTATTTCTCTTGGCACTTCATTACAATCCAAATATTTTTTGTTGTGTAAAAATAAGACATTATTTCAGATCATATGTATAAACATGTTCCTGACCCTTGTTTGAGCACCTTGGCTCATATACACCGTGTCTATATGCTGGTCGTGTATTCTGGCTGAAAAAGACCTAACTGATGATACTTCGAGCTTCAAATTCAGAAGTCTGTTTTGTACAACTTGTAGAAAGAAAAAAAAAAAAAAAAAATAGAATTCCTGGTGTTTCCTAGAAGCTATCCAGCCCTTTTCAAAAGGGATAAAGCTGATGGCCCAGCACTTCAAGGGTATACACTAAAAATGCTTTGAAAATTTTACCTGTTGCTTAACTACAGTGTGGTTTATTTCTACAGACCCATTATTTTGTCTTTTTGCAGAGTGGAATACCTACGTCGTACAAACACATTCTGTTGTCTGCATAATATTCTCTCAAAGGTTAACAATTCTTTTAGTGAGTGATGCAGTTTGAAACTGGTTTTCAGTGCCTTTTAAAGTGATGTTTTCATATCTGTGCAAATCACAAAACTTAAAGATGGGACTCAGTTATTTTTATTCAAATCAGACTCTCAGGCATGCACTGTATGTGCTTGATCATATGAAATTAAATGTATCTTATGTCTCCTACTGCTTCAATTACAGTCTAATTTTGAGTTGCATCTGATTTACCAAAATAGCAATATTGATCTAGAATCAATATCAATCTGTTAACAGATATGAAAAGCTCTCTAACAGTTTAAAGTTATAAAGGGTATGTTTTAATCACAGCTCTGGGCAAGTGTGAGAGGTCATCCCCTTAACACACACTGCAAGTTGACAAAAGATTCCAGTATCCATTTATTTACAAAAGTCTCGAATATCCAAAATACTAATACATATTCATAACACCCGTTCCCTGCTCCATATTAAAATGCATGGTAATGAGTTTAGAAAGTCATTATGCCTGCGTGGTCAGCTCCCTCATTTGAGGAGGGGGTAGTTTTTTTGTGAGGAGGGGTCATCAAAAGATGAAGGAAGACTACTCTTCCTCACTCTGACCTTTCTAGAAATGACATTTGGTAGAACTCCAGTTTTCCTCCCTTGTGAATTTAAATTGGGTTTTTAGATGTAGGCTCTGTTATCTTTTTAAGCCTATTTATCATTTTCTCTTTTCTTACTATAAGCACAGCTAAGCAAATATTCAAGGACGAGTAATTCTTCACCTAAATCTGTGATTCATTTTTTCAGATCCTACTTCTAACTTAATCATTTAAACCTAACTAATTCTAGCAAGGCCTATCTCTAGCTAAAATATGTAATTTTTCTAAAATCCTTAATTCTTTTAAAATCAATGACTCACATCAGCACTTACATTTTTGTAGAGTTAGAAACTAAACCCTTTGTAAATATTCCTCCCATGCTAATTTTTATACTACTTTGTGATTTTTAAAAATTATTTTTTAGCCACAAGTTTGGGAAAAAGATCACATACTTGAACTATTTAGATGATCTGGGAGAACATCTCAAATATGACCAGTTAAATATCCCTCAAGAAGTTATCTGGCATGTGGTAAATTTAATACACATTGCCTCACTTTTTTCTCAGGTGGAGTTGCATCCTGATCATTGTATTCCAAGAAGAATCTATTTCTTCAGTGATTTAAAGTGTAATTTACATGTTTGTGCTGGGTTGGATTAATTCTGAAAGCTGCATGGCCATCACAGACATACTGAAGTGCATCAGGTGTTTAGTTTTCTACAGATTTGGAGAAACTCCATCTCTGTCAGAGAGCATTTTCTTAATATGACTGCTACTTCTGTGTGAGTGTTAGCAAAACCAATCTATATGTCATTGCTGCTTATAGGTATCATACAATTTTCTTGGGCAAAACTGTAATCCTGACCTCTTTCCTTACATATTGCAACAGGTCGACTTCTTTTTTATTAAGAGCATTCCCAGTCAGCAGTGTTGATTGATTTTAAACTTCCTGGGTGTGTTTAATGGTGTAATGTAGCTGTTAGTGGATCCATTATGGTTATGTGGTGTGTAGGGAGAAGTATTTGAGAGTGGATGGGAGATGAAAAGGAAAAGAACTGCACAGGGCTGGAATAGTCAAGCACCAATATTACTATCAATAAGTCTTTCTAACGTGGTGCTTTACATGGAAATGCTTTGATGTATTGAGAGAAAGTGATTTTATGTCACTGCTGAATGAAAGTAACTGGAAGCTTTGATTATGACTGTTACTGATGCCTGGTGGCTTTTTACACACCTTTTGTGTAAAAATATATGGGATAACAGAAAATACCTTAGAGCTTTGAGGTTATAAATTGGATTGCATGGTTGCCAAAGAAAAGGGAGTTGTAATTTGAGGAGCAAAAATGTCTGAATTTTGCTGTTAAATTATAGTGTCATTCTATTTTTTGGACACATTTATTTCTATGCTCCACTGGTTGAAGCAAAAAGGCTCTTCTATGTCTTGCTTAAGTATTCCACCATAAATACTACTTTAAAAATTTGTCATCCTGAAATTCTGTAAGAGAAGGTTCTGTAAGATCTGCAGGATATACACTTTTGTCAGGAGATCAGCATCATGAGCAACACTTGTAGCTGTTCACATATACATTCTGCCATCTGTGGTGCACAGAATATCACTGAAATGTTGATTTTTTTTGCAGATATGAAGAAAATCTTTGGAGGAAACAGAAGGGAAAACTTCCACCTATGGTTAAGATTCCTCCACCATGGCCACCTCTGCCTACCCAGCTATTTGGAGTCAGCCTGCAATAGTAAGCCATAAGATTCCTAAAATATGTGATTTCTGTACCCTGCAGCTTTCTGTAATGTGCATATTCACCAGACAGACTGCCTGCAAATAATTTTTTTGTTATATATTTAGTTTCTCCTTCTCTTTAAAAGTCACTAAAGTATGAGGCCAGACAATAGGTTTTATGAATTCAGTACAAGTCTCACAGTCCCAGTGACCTGCCTGATTTTCATGCTGCAGTATCTTTAGTCAATGCTATCATGGTTGCACAACTTTTCCTGGTGGACAAAAGTTTGCCTGTGTGTGCCAGAGCTCCAAGCCGATATGTTGCTGGTGGATGCTGACAGTCTGAAAGTGTTTTGGAGATATTTAGATTATGGATAGCCAAGCCAAAACAGAGCTTCAGGTTCAGCAGTGGCTGAATATATCTACAATGGATGCTCAAGCTATTATACATGGTTGTTTTGTTGCTCACACATTGTTCTGGTGTTTTATGAAATGAATAAAATCATGCCCTCCCAGCCCTGATAGCTGCTTGCATAGATTACAGCCCTATATATAATACAAAAAAATTGCTTCCCTTACATGAGGAATGGGATGGCAATAGGACTTGTAAGATTAAATTTAATAAAAAAAAAAACAACAGCAAAAAAGAGACCATGAAACCTAGTTTCCTACCCACAGTAATTTCTGTCATCTTTCTATTCTTCTCAAAAGCAGCTAAAGAATACTGTTCACATTCAACAAAGGCAATTTAGGCTATCTGGTACATGCATTTTTTTCAAACCTCCTTCTACCCCCAGTCTACTTTTCTGGTTTTAATGATTCAGCTGAAAATGAGACACAAAATAGATTTTTTTCTGTTGTTCAGTGTTAAGCATTAGTCCTTTCTAGAAGGTACAAAATTAGTACAATCAACATCTATTGTGTAAGGGTTACTATGAGATTGACTTTCATGCTTATGAACTCTTTAGAGTTCAGCCTAACACTTGAAACATGGCTAACTCACTTCTCTAATTCAAAGGATATCTTTCAGGTGGCTCTACTGGGCCATTAAGAAGGACAGTGTTTTATGCCATGTTTTATTCACTCTTGTGCAAGTGGCATCACTACTTATAATTACAAATAAACAAATCCCCTATAACGTCTGAATCAGAAATTAATTAATTTTGACTACATTTGTAAAGAAAGGTAAAAGTGGAGGAGAAGAAATAACGTGTGTTGGAAGCTTTTAAAATCTGAAGCAAAAAAAAGGTATCAACTTTCATCTTGAGGAATGAATCGCTTCTGCTTATTCCCTCTCCTTTTATGTTATTTATAGACTATGATGGCAAAACAGCATTGATCTCCCACCTGTCTGGCAAAGAGGCAGGTTTGAAAGCCTCTTCTGGTTGAGAGGCTCTTCTCTTTCCCTGAAGAGGTTTGCAGGAGGGCTGATTTTATTTTTATATTAGCTTATGGGAAGATGTGGACTGTGTATTTCATTAAAGTTAGTAGAAGTTACACTACCAGGGAAGCTTCCCAGATAAAGTTACTGCCATTAAAGGACTGTTTCTCTGTGGAGGCTTTCTTTAGTTCAAGAATAGAAATTAGAAGGCACATAGGCCAGAAATATCATCATATTCAGTACTTCTGGAATGATGATCTTTATTCAGTCAGTAAAAGATGTGTGAATGGGCTTCATCCAGAGCACTTCTAGGTGGCCTAATTTTCCTGAGATGTTTGATAATGGGATCCCAGTGATGTCTGGCTCTGGAAGGTGGTGAAGCCACCTGCTTTAAAACATGCCTCCCTAGAAGCAGCAGGCAATGCTCTCTCTGGTAACACTCCCTCTTGTAAATTTTTTATCAGTTTATATTGGTCAATGCTTTTCCTTTCATGACCTATAATTGAAAACTAGAAGAGCAGAAGGTGACTAAACCTTGGTTCAAAATATCTCACTTTTGTCCAACACATGAGAGGGGAAAATCCTGTTTTGTTAGGACAGTGAAGTGAAGCTGAAGGAAGTTTCCATTTAGACAGTGATAAATCAATGAGTTTCCAAGACCTGTACCTTGCCTTGGAGGAATTTTTGAACTCACAATGACATTTTTAACCTTGTAGAGTTGGATTTTCAAAATTATGGAAGACAACTGGGAATTTAAAAATCACAGAGTGTCTGTGAGAACTGGGAGTATAATTCTTGGGAGTGTAATCTATATGGAATTTGGTTTCATTTATAAATGAACAGAAGGACTTCGGGTTAATTCAAAACTTTTCTTCCCTATGTAACCCCCATCCACTCAGGATGCAAAATCTAAATTTAAAATGGCTGCATTTGCTGTCTTTAGACCCTCAGAGTCACCCTAAGCTCTTTGTGGAGAGGAAAAAACACACACCAAATTGGTTTCATCTTTCATGTCTATCCAGCTTTACTTACATTTGCTTGTCTGGGATTTAAACATGTGCTTTGTATTAGGCACAGACGTGAAGTGGAAAACCTTCCTCAATTTGAGCTTCTGTGAAAACTCAAAAATTTGGTCTTTACAGCTTGAACTTGAATGTGGTAACAGGTTGTCCTGAAGCTTCCACTGGAACTACACTAATTCCAACAATAATGAATGAGCTTGATAAAAGCATTTAAATCATCCAAAGTTGCCTTATAGGACATCTTCAAAATAAATTGTGGGGGACCAAAACAAGTTATCCCTTACTCTCTTTTAATTCTTTATGCCTACAGGTATAGACCAGACTTGCCCAGTTTGCTGAATGACAGTCTATCTAAAGCATTTATGAGTGGCTTACCTGGCTGCCAAATTGTGCCTTTGATGGTTTGATCTCATGTTAAAGACAGAGGAATTTCCTTAAAAATATAAAATAAGACAACTGAAATTTATGTTCATCTTCATGGGAATATCAGACAGAACAATCCTCCTGGGGAAGTTATGTCCACATTTAATTTTTTGGTTACAGTGTAATGGGAATCCGTGCTCAGGTTTGATATGTGCTGATGAATGTGTCACACAGAGTGGGTGGGATGGCTTTGCACATTTGCTGTTTATTGTGTCCTGCTCTAACTGGCTAATTCAAGCTTCTTATATGCAGGTAGTGAGGAGAGCAACAACCACAGTGAGGTAGCTGAAAGGTTAATCAAGCCTCACCTCAAGTCTTCAGCAGAGGGAAATGGCAGGGAATAGCACTGAAACAAGGCAGACACAGAAGTATTCCTCCTTGGCTGTAAGTTACAGCTTACAGTGATCAAAGACTTTCAGAGAAGAGTACTACACTACTATGAAAATGACCTTCTGTTACTCACCAGTAGCTACTGCTTTCATAAAGCCAGACATTTCAAACAATGTTCATGCATTGTGTTGCTACAGTATGACTAGTTTCCTGCTTTTTCTTCACACAAAAAAATGTAGAACAGAAGGAATTGGCTATTCAAATCTATCTACTTTAGTTTGGTCTGCATGTCAGGGTGAAAAATAAGATATTTCTTTTAAAAGTCATTAGTGAAGGTTTTATGTTTAAAAGGGCAAGGAAAAGTTATGGGGACCATCTGCTTTTGTAGATCAGATAAGTAGAGTTAAAATGCGTGAATGAAATATCCTAAATTCCAACAAAGAAATTAATAATTGACTCTATGGGCCAAGCAGCATCATTGTCCTGTGCCGTATTGTCTGATAAACACCTGTTGCTGCACCTGATGGCCACTCATCAAGGAAGGTCACAGCTGAGCTCAAATACAACACACAGAGTTGACCTTGACTAACTATTGACATTGTTCTGTTTTATCTGATTAGTTTTTAAATCTGAAATTAAATATCATTTGTGAGAAGTCAGGAAATGCTTGCTTCTTCTATCGAATGCCATGGCTGGGGGAAAGAGGACAGAAAAAATGTTCAAAATTGTACAGTCCACAACTGTACAGCTTTCTCTTGTTAATTTGTTGTCATAAACATTTCAGAGTGCTTTCCTTTTGGTCATAATCTTTCTGCTTGTCCATGCTGTGTATGCATGACCAGGGAGGAGGAATGCATTCTAAACCAAACCTCCATGGGCCTCAGCAGGGAGAAAATGAAAGGGACAGGAAAAGCAAAGAGAGAGAAAGATTATCAGCCTAGAATACCTACTGACATCTCAGTACTATGTGTGGGAAACTGTCTGCTGTCCAGAAATGAGTCATTGGGTGTGTAACGTGTTGCAGTAATTGATCATGTATCCTACAGTGAGAAGTTCCTCTCCCTGGCACTGTGTTTACCAGAATAGATCTCTCTGGAATTTGACATTGCTGCTATATAACTGAGATCTGTGAATCATTTCCAGAAGCTGTAGTGAGCACTGTAGAAATGCTCTGTTCTGTTCATCACTAAAGCAAAAAGAGTAAGAAAATACCTCATTTCAAATTGTCTGCAGCACTGCCTAATCCCCAATGAACAGTTTGCATTATCTATCATAAGGCATGGCAGCTCATCCCACCATCCTGGACGAGGCAGGAGAAACATGGATTGTTTGGCAGGATCCAAAAACAGAGGAGAGAGGTGTCATTTCATTGATCTTTGAGCTGGTCTGATTTACATTAACTGATGTAATGTCCCCATCATTTTATGTCACTTAAGGTCCAGTAAAGTGAAAGCTGTGTTCCACAATGTGAAATGCTCTGAAAATACTCATCCCAGCTCACCCCAGTGCAGCAGAAACAGAGCAATATTTTGCATGTATTTGCATGTCAGGGAACAGACTATTCTATTTTAAAATACCATTTTTCTTGAGAACCTTGTTCATTTTACTGAGAACAGAAACAACCTTTCCTTCAAGGGAAACTGGAGTCCTGTAGAAAATGGTAGAAGTGCAAAAACTGTATAACTGTACCGTTTTTCCCTAGGGGAAAAAAAAAGTGATGTGTAGGGTTTATTATTGGAAATTATAGCCCAGTTATTTGTTTTACCTCTCTGACAAATATACTAGTTCTCAACAGGAGCAAGTGCTGTAAATAATCACTTTGCTATTTATACACTGAAACAGGAAACACTTTTCTGGGCAACAATAATAATTAGAGAACATTTTTAAAAAGCTGCTGGGTTGCTATTTGGTTCCTCTGGAGTTAGCAGCTGTAAGAAAGCAAATGCAATCAGTGCAACTTTAGAGAGGCTGAGAATGGGTTCCATGAGCTTAAATTGTCAATAATAAAGATGTAACAGCTTCCAAGCACATTAAAGTCTTGATGATGGTCCCATTTAAGTGAGTTAGGCTTTTGACTAATTTTAATAAAAGCTGCTCTGAGTGTTTAGGGCTTAAATACATGAAATAAAATCCTTTGACACACAAGGAGCATGTTAGAACTCCCCTTTTAGAAAAGCTAAAATTAATGTGCGTTTTTTCCCCCTTACCTTGATTTTCTGCAGGCTTTTCCTCACTGACATCAGGAATGTTGGCCTCAGTACTGACCTCATCTCCCACCCCCTGTTCTTCTTTAGTACCTTACTGGGAGGTATAATTTCACTGGGGATTTCAACTTTGCTTACTGTGCAAAGAGACCCTAGAACTTCCTTCCTGGTGTGGTTTATTAGCTAGACTAGTTTATTAACGGGGCTGCACAGTCACTGCACAGTTTGTTCTGTGTTGATTCTGACGACTGAGTCATGAACTTGGTCCCGGTGGCAGGAGTTTCTCTCATGAGTGAATTTTTTTTGTGGAGTGCTCATAGCCTCTGGTTTAGCTCTCAAAAGTCTGTGATAATGGGGAACATTGAGGTGGTACTTGGTCTTGCGAGTCAGGTCATAAAGATTTCTTCTGGCCATTATCATGTCATTATGATGCTGCAGAGAATCATAACCAGCAGGTCTGGTGCTGTTTTGTGTTGAAATTAACAGTGCCTTGCCAATGTGTAAGAACAAGAGGTTGGATAGTTTAATCTAAACATTATACTTGCAAGCAGCAAATAATAATGATAATTTCTAATGTATAAAACACCATACTTTAGAATTATCTGAATTAAATTAATTCTTTGCTGTTAGTATTTCCTTTCCTGCAAGTGTGTTGCATACATTGTAGAATTTATTTGGTCAAATGTCTGAAAATGTCACACTGTGAGCATGGTTTGTGAAATTTGCCTGTATTTTTAAAGTAATATATGTGTTTGTTTACAGCAAGGAAAATTCCTCTTTCCTAAACAGTTCATGTTACATATAGATACAGCATTAACCCCTACATAGAGCATCATTGAATTTTATACACTTTAGAATCTAATATGGGTGTTTTGTTGAAAAAGAACAGTCAATGGATTTATTTTTAGTAAGACTCACAGAAGAGCTTTGGGCTTATGTCATCCAAACTTGACAGAGGAGTAGAGCTTTCCCAAATACTGCAAACTTTTAAAAATCATTGCTTGAAAGGATAGAAACTGTAGCAGGAATTCAGTTTTCTCTTGCCTTTGGTATGCTGGTGCATCAGTTAGTGTTTAGATGGTGATTAGATATGAGCTGCTCCTTACCTATGAGGAAATATGAAACAAAGTGGTGAGGGGAGGTTATGAAAATACTCTGTAAGGGAAGTGAGGTTGTAGATGTATAAGGAAATAATCTTTGATTACCAAGATGAAGAAAGAGCTAGGACCTAGGATAGAAATCCATAGAAGCAAAGAGCAACTTCATTAGTTCTTCAGCTTCATTTTAAACAGCAGATTGGTCTAATATTTGAAATAGTAGGTGGTGCATCAGTGTGCTTACTACAATCACTTAGCGACTTGCAGTGTTTTCTGTAGCAAATGGGAATGTGATACATGAACTATAGTATGGGAGAATGTGGATAACATAATAAAGATACTTTAGTGCCTGGGAAGAAGTTGGATGGCGAAAGCAGGAAAGAGGAAGAGTAGGACTGGGTGGGCAATGAAACTGTGAATGGGAGAGACTGTACTAATCAGTGACAGCATTGTGTCCCTGGAGTGATGAACTGAATCAAAATATTTGATGGCTTAATAACCAAATAACATGAAGTGAATTCCCATGTCAGTTTATGAGTAGGAAAGGCAAAACCACAGGATATCTAAGGCATAATCTTGCTCTGAATCTTCCTGTTGGAGGATCCTCTCACTGCCCCTGTATGCAAAGCTGGGAGTGACCAACCTCTTGAGCATGGAGACCCAAAGTTAACATATCTAAAAAAAATACAGGGGAGAGAGATTTGACAATTTCCCTGCCCCTCCATGCTGACTAAGTTGCCGTAACATTCCTTTTGGAGTAGTTTTTACGTGTAGTGTAAACACAAAATGTAATACTGGATTACTCTTTCCATGCAATGATGTTACAGAAGTTGTGTCAAATAGAACTCCAGTCATTATGAGTTAGTTTATTAAAGTACAAAGTAATTAGTAAGCCTAGACAGAAAGAGAATCACAGTGCTTGGAAAAGGCCTTAAAAATCATTGTTTTCTGCAGGTGCAGCTTCAGCTGGTAGCACAAGGTCTACTTTATAATATGAGGTTGGTCTGTTATTTTTTGTTGTTGATTACTATAAAGTGTAGCAGAATGCTCAGCAGATATTGACTGTCTCTTTTGCCAAACTGCCAAAACCCTTTTTTTTCAAAATAAGGAAGATAGTTACAGAATTTTCTGTTCTGTCTAGATCCAAAAAACACTTGATTTTTTTGCCTCAACTGTTCATTAATGAAATTTCAAATAATTAAAAGCATTAATAATCTCACTGCATTGCTTTGCCTTCAAAATAAAAAGCACAATATCCTTTTAATTATACAGACACTATAGCTTAAAAAGAAGCAAATTACAAAGAAAAATCTACATGACGAAAGTTTCCTAAACTTGCAGCATCCCTTGATCAAGACTTAATGTGAAGCATTTTTTGTGAACTCCTTCCTTGCCTGCCTTTAAGCTGCTTGGAAACCCTGTTCCACCAAGAGTCTCCAACCAAGCCTGATAGGAGGTGCCACTAGCAGCCTGTTGATAATTAACACATCTCAGCTGGGAGATGCCAAGGGCAGGGAGTTAAATTAAGCAAAACCAGTCTCAAGCAGGGAGAAAGTTAACTTGGAATATCATTCTGCCACTCTGTCCTTGCTTCCCTTTCAGCCCAGCACATAGCACTTATTTATTTCTGGGCAGAGGGGCAGTTAGACAGCTTTCCTGGCAAGAAATAGGTGTTTAGGAATGGCTCTTTGGATAGAAACCCAAGATGCTTGTTTCAGATTTTCATCCAGTACCTGTTGGAGTTCTGAAGAAATCTCTTTTTTGGTACTGGTGCCTTCATTTGTGAAATGTAATGTGTATGTGTTCTCAGATTTCTCTCAGGTTTTTTGCTCAGACTGTTCTGTCTTTTGAGCCTTTGTCTATAAATGCCATTTAAAGGATGTTACTTTTTCTTTTTTTTATCCCTCTCTGACAGTTTGAAGGACAAAAATAAAGGTGAACTAATCCCTCCAGTAATGAAGGAAACTATCCTGTCTCACAGGATATGTTTATATCCTGAGAACTAGAGTGGTGACTGGGTGCTGCCATGAAAGGATGGAAAATAATTATTATCAGATTATTGTCTGATAAAAAAAAAAGTCTGATACTGTCTTATTAAAAAAAAAAACAGACTCAAACCAAACACTAAATAAGTTTTTTTTTCTCTAAGGATTAGTTAGGAAACAGCAAATCTGAAGAGTGTCTTGAAATATGCATCATAAACCTATATAATACTGTTGGAATTAAATAGAATCTCCAATAAAAATCAACGTAATCTAGTTTTTGCTTTCAGTATTCAAACTATGTGTGTCTTAATATGGGTTAATTTTAACTATTTCCACCATGGTTTGGTCTGAGTTTGTGATAAAGTGATAAATTACAAACATTTTTAAAAACTTGCTCTGAATAGGCTTCACAATTGTGAAGACAAAAGGAGGCAGGCAAGAAAAAAATTACTTCTCAGCTTTATTGCTAATTTTCAAGAGAAATCCTGGCTTCCATTAGGTCAGTGTGAGATAATACATATATAATTGAGGACAGACTAGACTGACATTTGCCCTCATCGCTAGGCTATGCTCTTTTGTGTTTTAGTTTATCTCTGGGCAAATAAGAACATTAAAAACCTGACCACTTTTTTTTGTTGTATGTTCCATACCTTAAATGAACCTTATTAGTGATGAGTAAAGGAGAATCAGAGAGATATCCACTGCCCCTTAGAGTGTGCAACTAGTGGAGCATCTGCAGGCTCCATCTGTAGGCATCCTTGTGTACAAAACAGCTGGCTCCTTGCCCCTAAAAATTGCTGATTTAACTTTAGATTACCTGCAGCAGGCAAGGCTGCTGCAGTGGGGCCAGTTCTGCTGTTAAAGGCAAAGAGTTCCTAATGGACCTTTTGGTTCCTAATAGACCTCATGGTCCAAATTCAAGATTTCCACTCAGACCCGTAAAGGTCTTTGGGTGTGCTGTTTCCAGAGTGGTGCTGATTATGAAAACTTTGCAGAGGCAGCTTGTACCAAATATTATGGTTGAATACAGGGAGTGTAAATAGTTCACTACTAAGAATGTGGAACACAAGTGAGTGGCATTTCTGTAATTGCTATTATCGTAAGAGGATAATTAGAGCTTGTGTGGTGTATCAGTGCATGCCCCATCTGCAGATGAAACCCAGATTTTTTTGTGTTTTAAATTGTTATGAAACAAACATCCTTCCATATACTTAGTTTCTCTTAGCAGCCAAATACCTCTTCCTAACTAACCATAGGAGTCAAGACAGCTATAATGAGGCTGAGTGTGGCACCAACATTATTACCTCTTACATTTGTTATTACCTAGAAATTGAGTGACAATACAGCCACAAAAATGTTAATTAAGTTAAACTTTTGCCTGTGTATATGAGGAAGGCTTTGCATTCTGGTACTTTCTTGGGCTCATTTAAAGATTTTAAAGAAACAGAGGGTTTATGGCCATCATTATGCTGTGTTAGTGACCAATAACTAGTTATTCATTCATTGATCTGACATAAAACCTCTATGTCTTGCTTTTGTTCTTTCTGGGTGTTTTGTCTCATCACTGCTGCACCAGGTTCATACTCTTCTCCCTCAACATTTGCTGAGTCAGCTCAGATACCTAGCTTTCTGAAGCAGCAACACCAAATGTGCAGTAGAGGGAAAAAAAGCAAGTTATGATGGTTATGGTTAAAAAACCTCCAGGGTCGACTCATCTTCATCACTGCAGCATTTCTCCTAGATGAAATATGTGCCATTCTGAAAGCAGCAATCATCCTTGAGTTTTCTCCAAGCCTTGTCCACCTATGGCTAGAATTTCATCTATTCAGAGCTCTATCAGTTCAGCTTGGAAGGGATGGACTCTGATGAGACTTCTTGTCCTATTTTGTACATCTTCACAGATCAGTGGCAGAGTAGTGCTGGCCACTGATTCACAGTCCAGTTCAAGCTCTTCTCAGCTGAACTATCTTATTCTTTTCCTCAGCTCTCAATCCTTCCATGCCCTCAGGAAGGAGCGCCAAGGGCTCGGTCAACATTATTTTCCAGCCAAGCACAGAGGTTTGCTCAGAGCTGTGATATTCCATATCATAAAGAGATTTCCACAAATCAGATTTCTAAAGAGAGATTTCTTGTCAGGTAGAGTGTTTTTTTGACATTCTCAGCCAGCTGATGCTTGAAAGCCAAGTACCTGCCATGCCAAGCCTGTTAAGTAGTAGGTGATAGACATGCAATTTTTTGCACTTGATTATAGGTGTGCAGGTATCTGGTGTACCTGCTGTCTGCTGTGATTTTAACTCTTTCTGTAAATCTGGAATAACTCAGTTGTGCTGTCTCCAGCATGTGCTGTCTCTGTGGGTTGCTGACAGCCCCAGGAAGGTGACTGGCACCATTCTTTGCACTCCAGACATGGCCATAAGCACAGTGAAAGCTTCAGTTTCAGTTTTGTCACTGTCTTCTGGAAGTGACAAGAATTCACTGTCATTCCCCTGATTCATTTGATTTTGGTAGTTTTCAGCCCTGCAGAGTTAGCAGGAAGTAGGTTTGGTTTTCACCCAAGGTGCAGTAGTTCCACCCTTTCATTGCTACATTTTCACATGTTATGTACTTGACATCAGTTTTGGAAACTCTGAGTTAGGGGACAGAAGCTTCTGCAAAATCCTGCTTCGTTGGCAGTTAGGATTTCTTGAAATATCAGCGACCCTCTGGCATCCCTTATGTCCATTCTGCACTTCTCAGACTTATTTCTTGAGCAGCTCTGGTGCAAGAGCTGTGCTGCTATTCAGACTAGGCAGCTGCAGTGGTGTGTCCAGCCTAAGGAAGTTCTCAGTCCCTGAAGCTCACCCGACCTTTTTCACCTCACTGATTCCACTTCCTTTGACAGATTGCTTGGGGTCACAGTCTTCCTCCTCAATGTTTAAATTTTGTGCCTCAGTTTCAGACACCTCTTTTTGCAGCAGCTTCTTCCAGTGTGGAGGCACTGTCACCTGTACAAATGAGTCAAAGCTCCCCTTCTTGGACCCAGTTTACATTTATCTGACATTTACATTTATTTGACTGCATAGTGCTCTTTCTGACCAAGATTGCTCTCGCTGGATCCGGGTAGTAAGCCTCTCCAGTACTTTTACAGGGACTAAAGAATTTCCTGTTTGCAGAGATTCATCTACATCTGTCTATATTTTAGAAACAAGAACTATCATAGCTCATGTCTTAGATGTATTGCAATAAACACAATAAGCTGAAGTTTCCTAATTCCTGTAATTTTCAGGTTGTTTTTTTCAAGAAGGGGATAAAATATAGCCATTTCACCATTTCTATTCCAGCTTTGCTTTGGAGTGAAAAATGTTTTTAATACTGAATTTTAAAATTCCTGATTTCGGTTTTTTAAACTTCCATGGGGAAGAATTGATTTCCTAAAATGTGTTCTGAGTATCTGAAAAAGTCATCAGCTCATTAAGACTAAACTCAGAGGTCATCTTCTGGACCAAACCAGAGAAATTAAGAGTTAATTTGAGAAAGAAGGGTGTGATAACATCCTGAACCCATGTGATGATTTAGTCAGGCCAACTAGTAAAAAAGCTTGTAAAAAAAGCACATTTGTAACTTGCTCTTCATATTAACCAGAAAACCAGAGGACTTTTTTTTTTATATGCACAGCCTCAAAACCACCTAGTTTATAAATGCAAGGCTTGACTTGCACTAAATAAGATTTTTGTGTGTGTGTACTACTTTATCTCTTCTATGCCCTTAGAAATTACACTGCTTAATTAAATATCCACTCTCTTTTTCAGAACAGTTCTTAAGTGTTTTTAACCTGGTATTGTTCCTTTCACAGGGAACAGCAACACTTGATGCTTCACTCACAGGGCTTTTTCTCCAAGAAGCCAAGCTTAGTCACAGGGTGCTTATTTTTTTTATCTGGTTAATGTCTCCATGTGTCCTCACCATCTCCTCTGTGACAAAGTGAGACTGTAAAAGGGGGCTGCCCCTCAAGACCAACTGTTTCAGTAATCCCATGCTGTGAAGGATAAAACCACACAACAAAATCTGGTTTTTGTTTGCAAACCCCCCAGTATCTGGAGGTCAGGCATCAGCTTTTGTGTATTTTTATTTGATTGAATACATATATAAACTGTGCTGTTAAGACCTGCATGAAGATGTCAAATAGGTTACAAAGGGCAGGGATGTCTCTCAAGTGAAGCCTATTTCAAACATGAATACACTAATTTGTAGCTGGTTTTACGCAAAATACAACTTTGAAATTTATAGATAGGATTATTACTGTTAATGTATTTTATGTTTTAGAGAGTATCCTCAAAGGTATAAACAACATGCTTATTCATGCTTTAAAAAATTTAAAAGCAAAGTGACCTCCTATGATCATCACTAAAATTTCCAAAATTTGAAAACATTTGTGTTCTATAGAGTGGCCATATAAGGAAACAGCTACAAGAGAATTGCACAGAGAATTGGTTACTAAAGAGCTCATGTGAGATCAATAGCAGCTCAGAAGGGATGGAACAATAAGGTCATGGTGAAAGAATTGCACTAGGGAATTGCAAAGCAGAAAAGAAAACTGGTCCCTATAGGAAAATTATCTCACAGATATCTCTCCATGGCCAAGTCTTTCTTACCCCACCTATTTTGTTGACTTGGAAGTGTTACACAGCATAAAGCTTTTGTTCTTTGTTGTCTTGTGGTACCACAGGAGAGTCCTGGGTGCTGACTCAAAAGTCTAAATGAAATAGTAATAACTATGCAGTAGAAATTTAATGATAAAGTAATAAATATCCTATTGTATGATTATAGTGACAACTGAAGCTGTCTTTTATCTGTTCACTAGAAGAAGCAGTGGTAAACAATGATTAATCTTTCCTCTTTGTCCCTTCCATGAATCACAAGAAATCTTGCTGATGGAGAAAGTTCTGGTTGCATTTTTTTAATGGTGGTGGTAGTCAGAATGGGTAGAGATGGATGGTTATGCAATCTGAATGTCTGGGGTTCTGTAGCTTTGCATCCTGGCCTCCCCTTCTTGTGATAAGTCAAATATCTTCTAAAAATGCAACGCTGGGAAAGCTTCACATTGGCCACTTGAATATTCCAAGTTCTTGGCTCTTTTGTTTTCATATGAGTATTTTTACATAAGGTTCATGGAGATGAGATAAATTCCAAGACTGGTTTGTGTGCCATCAAATAAAAATTAACTTTGTAGTAAGCACAGTTTGTACTTTTTGTGCTCAGGTGTCGTGGTTTGACAGTGGCCCAATGCCAGGCACCCACAAGAGTTGCTCCCTCACTCTGCATAGAGGAGAGGGAAAAAAAATTAACAAAGGTTTCATGAGTTGAGATAGGGACCAAGAAAAACACTTCAAGGGCAAAACAGTCTCAACTTAAATTTTCAAAATGAATTTATTATTAACAGAATCAGAGAAGGATAATAAGGAATAAAATAAGCCTTTAAAACACCTTTCCCTTTCCTTCCCACCCCCCAGCCCCTCCCTCCTTCCTACCAACAGCACAGGGAGACAGGGTAAGGGAGTTTTTGTCAATTTTTCAGTCAAAATCTTTCTTCAGTTTGCTTAGGGAGAGAAGTCTTTTCTGCTACGCCACGGGGTCCTTCCCACAGGAGGCAGTTCTCTGGAAGCAAGGGCTTTCTCTCTCTTCGAGTCTCCCACAAAATTAGAGCTTTTCAGCATCCGCCTGCTGCAGCATGAGCACTTTTTCCCACAGGCTGTGAGTGGATCTCTACATCCCCCCATGCACTTCAGGAATTACAGGGAGACAGTTCGTTGTGTTATAGTCCTTGCCACAGCTTGCAGAAGAATCTCAGTTCCGACATTCAGAGCACCTTCTCCCTCTCCTTCCTTTCACTGACCTCAACTGCCATGTTGATTCTCCTCACATGTCCCTTATCTTTTCCTTTTCTGTGATCCAGAAGAAAATTGTTATCGTAGGTTCTTTTGTTCTCAAGTTCTTATAGGGTTTTGTAGCACTGAAAGGCTGATCTCGACTGGACTGTTGGGGTATCACTCGCCATGCCTCTTGCCACCAGCCATGTGGCCCCTGCCTTTCAGCGCCTCTCTTCATGCAGGATGCTGAAAAATAAAAGCTGCTGCTGCCCTGTCCCTTCTGCCCACAGCACAGCTGGCGAAAAGCAGCCAAGCAGGTACCGCTTGCTGCGAACCTTGCCGAGATTGTCGCTCGTTCTCGGTCTTTTCAGGGCCAAGTTCTTCTGGGACACTCCCTCACGGGGAGTTTTGTTTATCTTGGTTCTGTGTCAGGAAGGATACTCCAAAGGCTTGTTAGGCTCTTGTTTCTTGTGTTTATTAATATATTATCAAAAGACTTGGCATGTCTTCCCCAGACTTTCTGCTTAACTCACCATTGCCTAACTCAAATTGGCTTGAAAGGCACAAAATGGCCTTGAAACATGCAGCTCTTTTATCTTTATACTTCTTTTCACTTAATTAACAACAAACATGTAAATGATTTTTCTTAGCGACCCAATGACCCAACACCTGTGTGCTGCACTGCAGCATTCTCTATCCAATCACTTACTGTTACCTAAAAACCTCTAGAAGAAGAAGATGAAGAAGAAAGAAGAAGGAAAGAGACAACACCCTAAATCCTCCATCTTGTCTTCTGTTCTCTAAACTAGTTTAAACTCTAAACTAACTTTTTCACCCAGTGACTTAAGAAAACTCTCTAATTTGCACACTCACACTTTTAGTTTCTCTATTTAACTTCAGGAGTTATTTTCATGGTGTTATATGAAATTTAGTGTTTTCTTGGATGTCAGAGCCAGGTATCAGAGATAAGGGCACGCACTCTGTGCCTCAGACTCCAACAGAGATGGCTGCAGCCATGCAGCAGCTCTGGGAAGGAGAAGCTGCAGTCACCACCCCGCCTTTCTGCCTGCAGCGCAACAGGCTAGAGGTGGCCAGGCAGGCAAAGTTCACCGCTGGCCATGCCCAGATGGCCGCAGTGGCTGCTTGTGGCACTGGGATGGCCCCAGCTGTGGCACCTCCCCACCCCTCAGAGGAACCTGCACATAGTTTAGATTTCCTTTTTAAATATTTCATCACAGAGGCATTGCCAACTTCTCTAATTGGCATAGCAGCATGTGTATTCTCAGAGCCATCCAGGGATTGGCTTTGCCAGGCACAGAGAAAGCTTCTAGCAGCTTCTCACAGAAAAATCACTTGAATAGCTGGTTTCTTCCTTCTCCACCAAAAACCAGCCATGCAAAACCAACACATCGGGCATTACTAATAAATTATTCTCAGAGATTCCAAATGTAAACTGAGAATATTCGTTCATACGTGAAAAGGCCATAGAATGCAGTTCAAAACTTCAAGGACACAAATAAACTTTGGATTCTGCTGCTGCAAGGCTTTTCAGTAGGACTGGGAATGTCTCTTTCCTTTTCCTCTGCTCTTGCTCTGCTGTGCTCTTTCTTGCAGTGCAAATCACCTTTATGAGCCATAGACATCCCATTCATTTGCTCTGTATTCATTGCTCAGAATGCAAGGAGAAGGAAGGATATGCAATCTCCTGCTCAAACTTGCACTGTTATACTAGCTTTAAAAAAATAGTTCAAATTTGTCTTAAACAGTAAAGTTAGTGCCACTTTGGGCATTTAAGAAGAAGCAGTGACAATTAAAATATGCTATAAACTCAGCAGTCCTTGTATTAGAAATAAATTAGTCCCGAATTAAAAAAAAAAATCTTACTAGAGCTAGGAAATCTGAAAGAAGATGTCTTTGTTTAGACATGCATTAGTAGGAATGAAAATCACTTCAAAATCAGGATGAACACTTTGTAAGAATTGGCAGGATCCTAGTTGTAAGAAACATTTCCAAACTGAATCTGGGACAGAAGGAATTCAGATGCTCACTCTTTGCCATTTCTCTTCTGAAAGCAGACAAAATAACAAAGGTTTTTGATGCCAGCAACCCTCATATCAAGGATGATTGAAAGAAAAAGAATGTAATTTTCTTGTCTGCCTTTCTTTGACAAGTTTCCAGCCATTTGACAGCATGTGTTGCTTTAATTTATCTTTATCATTTTTGATTTTCTGTGTCTTTTTTTGTGGGACAACTGATGGGGGCAAGTAGGAGGGGAGCTAAGCATTTTTAGCAACAGTAAATAAATGCAGAGTGTGACACAGTTGTGTCATGGCACTGTGAAAGATTGTCTACTCTGGTGAAAGCTATCTTATTTCAGTGTGGAATAAAGTGCCTGCCTGCTTTCATTTATGATTACTGACATTTAAATAATTACTCAGTTGCATTCTTAATCACAGTATCACTTTATTGAGTATAGATGGCTTCTTTGCTAGTCATACTACATTTTTTTTGTCTAGCGCTTAATATTTAGAATTAAATTTCACTCTTTTTGATCTGAGGAGTTTAATGCAGGTTAGTAAATGTCCACTGATCTCTGTATTTGTTTATTCTGGTGAAGGGCAGGGGGCAGTTTGTGTGAATTAACTCATCACAGGCTCTGCAGTGGTGATAGAATCTAGTGGCATGCAGTGCTCATCAGAACTGGGGAATCCAGGCTCACACCCTTCATGCCCTCACAGTGCTCTGGCACTGCTACTCCAGGGTGAATACTTTACATAGACTGTGTTGTTTATGCTGTTTATGGTGAAATAGCTCAACTTGTACACAAGAAAAAAGAAGTCTTTTTACAGAGACGGCTGTAAGAGGTCATGCTGTAATTCCGGTCATGCTGGAATTCTTTTGGCAGTCTATGTTCAAACAGAGGCTCCCCTGGACTTGCTCCCCGTCTTTCTCAAGAGAGGGAAAGAACACATTCTTTGCTTTTAGCTATTTTTTTTTTCATCTGAGGCAAGAAGTTTTCCCCAGGACTGTGGCTTCTTCTTCTGGAACTGTTTCCCTTAGCTCCAGTCTGGAACACCAGAACATCACCAGGAGCCCTACATCATGGCCTGGCATGGGAAGGCTGCAGGGACTCCACATCCCTGGCCACAGCCTGGTCTCTGGACTTCAGGAGAAGCTGAGCAGAACTCTAAACTCCACCAGCTTTCTCCACAGAGAAAAGGTTTTAATATCTAACATTATTCATTCTTTCTCTCATGCCTGTGTGCAGCCTGCTTGTTAAATAAACTGTTTTTTTTCACTTTCCACCAAGAAATTCCTGTCATATTGGTGGGGGAAGGGCTGAAACCTACTTCTTCAGAGGAGATTCCACTTTTAGGATGTTTCCTCCTAACTTGTCTCAAACTGAGACACTTCCCATCACTTGTTATGAGACCCTTGTTGGGGCATATGCTAAAACTGTTTTCAGGTTATGTGACAAGGGAAATGCTGTCTCTCAAATCATGGATTTAGGTAACTTTCCCTTGATCAACTTAAATACAGAGAGCACTAAGAATAATTAGTAGTTTTACAAACTTCTAAAGCAAAGTGTCCTTTTCAGTTCATATTTCTCACAGTTCATCAGTGTACCCAGGCTCATTGTTTTCCTCCATCAAGAGCATAATTGCTGTTGACTCATATTTCTGTTTAACAGAGACTGAAGTCAGAACCCTAGATTGATTTAAGAATTGCTCTAATTTCTTATTTTCTGAGCATCTTATATGTCAAAAAAAAAAAAAATAGTGACTTGCTGTTGTGGTTCATTTACTGTTGAATATGGCTTTTTCTTTTTCCCTAAGAAAAAGAAACCTACATTTAACTAATTGCACTAACCTACATTTAATTATGTGTCCTGTCATTTGGCTGGGTTGCCCACAAATGTAAAAAGCACTGGGTATATTTACTTTGGTAGTTGGCTTGTTGCCACCTGTACTCAAACAAATTGCTGTGTATTGATTCAGTTTCACCTGGCATGGGAAATGAGTTCCAGAAGAATACAGATATTGCCTGTATCCCAGCTTTTTGCAGATGAAAATAAAAGTTGCTTTTCCCTGTCCAAAAACATAACCAGCAAGAGCTTAGTGTTATGTGCCATTACAGGAACACTGATGGGAAGCAGAGCCAGATAAGCACAGCTGTTGTCTGTGCTACAAATAAATGTTTTTAATAAGACTCTTGAAAGCTTAAACAATAAAGGCAAAAACCTGTTAATAATTGATATTTATTACATTGTAGTCCTTACAGCAAGATTCGCATCAGATAAAAACACTAATTATTAACCCAATTCCTGCAAACAAAATTGGAAATGTTTCTGGATATCCATTTTCTGAAAGAGTTGTTTGTACAGAACACCTCTAGTCCACTGACAACCAGTATAAAATTGCTCAGATTCTCAGGAAACATTTGCTGAGGACAGTGCCTTGACAAGCTAGTAGTTCCCACCTGCTACTTCCCAAGCAGTGTTTTTGGACAGGTTGTACAATAAATCGAATGGAACGGTTTTACTACAGTAATGTTATCTGCTGTAATTTTATTTAAGTGAAACACAACGTGATGGAGAGTAAAGCCAGGGGTCAAATATATCATACTTGGTTTCTTTAGTAACCACATCTGTTAAGAAGCTTAGATATGGTAGCTTGAGATGTCCTTCTCCTTCTAGAAGTGAGTGCATAAGCTAACATTTTAATATTCAACAGGCAAGGGCATATTTTGCTAGGAAGTAACTAGGAGCTGTATTCAGCTGAACTCCAGCCAAACCTCTAAACCTAGTCAGTGGAGCACTTTCAAACAGAGCTTGAGGTCCTTGGCAAAAGTCCCTGAAACTTGTCTATAATAATGTAGTTCAGTGGTATGTTACCAGTTTTTTAGTATACTGACCTAAATTCATGTGAACAATACTAGATGATGTGTTCATTCAGGAATTTTGTTATTATTTACTGATTTTTCATGCATGAAATACCTCTGCAATCTGAGTGAATTTGAAAGAATGATTGAGTGTCCTTCATTAATACATGACTCAATTTTTCTAGGACACAGTAAAGGTTATTGATCATGCAAACAAACTCATGCGTACTTTAGTTGAAATATTAGAATGTTTCAGTCTGGCTGCTTACCTGCATGAAGAAATAAAAAAGTCAATCTGGTCTTCCTCACTCATATACAGAAACACAGAGTAGTGCCTCCAAGCTGTGGGTAGTCTACCAACCTTCTCAAAAGTGCAATTTCTTGTTTAGTCAGACCAGCACAGGCTAATATTTTAGATGACTCTGCTTCCAGTAGGAATTTCCAATTCAGACAACATGTGAGTAAAATTACATTATGTGCTGGGTGTGAGGAACAGCACAAACTGGAAAGAAGGAGAGGGAAATGAGAGTTTTACCAAACTCAAAAAGCAAGAAGTACCACAAGTCTCAAGAAAAGTAGTAGTTCTTGGCCCCATCCTATTCTGAATAATAATTAAATAATAATATAATAAAAGATAAATAATTTACCTTGAAAACTGAGGTCCAAATGAAATCCTTTTTCAACATTTTTCTTCCCTAGATGAAGTCAGATATCAGTTAGTCCACAATGTTAGGTACATATCTTCCAGGATATTAATTCAGAACTGCGTCAATACTAGGATCAGATATTTCAAAACACCATGGATGGGCAGAGTTTTGAGTCCCAGTGGCGATATTAATTCAGAACTGCGTCAATACTAGGATCAGATATTTCAAAACACCATGGATGGGCAGAGTTTTGAGTCCCAGTGGCTTCCAGAGGGGTGTAAGGAGCAATGATCTGCACCAAAACACATTAAAACAGTTTATTTTGTTTTATATTTGTTTAATTTTCAAATTATTTTTCAGGACTACAAGTAGAGGGCCTCTTCAGGAGGTCAGCCAGCATCCAAACTATCAAAGATGTGCAGAAACTACAATCAGGGTAAATTGTCATCACACCATTGCCAGTAGCAATGTGAGTGCTCCTGGTTTTGTTGGTGAAGCAGAAATGCAATTTCTTGCAAATAATTAATCAAAGCCATTTCAAAATAAAATAATAACAGCACTAGTAGAGAAACCTGGGAGATAGCAATAGGTATTTAATGCTTACTGAATAGCAAGTCATCTCTTGATGTCAAACCAGAGCTGTAAAAAAATCTGTAACAGCTAATGAGGTTTGAGTCAAAAAAGATGTATTTGTCACAAAAAAAAAAAAATATTGTGCACTTTACTGTAGTCACAAAGTACAGTCCCTGTGTCGTTTTGCCTCTGATTATGGCAAAGAAATATAATTTTACCTAATAATTTATGAAATGTAGTGAAGTAATTTTGTAAGTCAATGACCTCCCTGTGAAGTCGTCTTATGAATTGCCTTTATGGGGAGAACCTCTTTTAGGAAAATTAATTAAACTCTATGCAAATGAAAAATGCAAAAATAAAATATTAGGAGTTACCAGCAGCAGAAGGACAGGAGGTTTTCTGTTCAAACTGTTGTGTGAAACAGTTTTCAAGTAGCTTCAAGAAAAACATATCACTGAATGTCCTTTTTGCTTCTTCTCTTTGAGTTAAGTCTGTGAATTTTGATGATTATCATAATATCCATATTCCTGCTGTTATACTGAAGACTTTCCTTTGGAAACTCCCTCAGCCATTTGACTGTTATGAACATATCCTTGAAATCATCAGTGAGTGGTGATATATATATATGTGTGTGTATATATATATATAAAAAAATATATATGTATATATGTATGTATATATGTATGCATGTATATAAGTATGTATGTATGTATGTATGTATATTGTTTGTTTGGTTTGGTTTGGTTTTTGTTTTGTTATTGTTTGTGGAGTTTTTTTGTTTGGTTTGTTTTCTTTCAGTGCAATTATTCCCACAAGAGAACATCCTGGTGAACTAAGGATCTAAAGCTATGAATTATGAAACTTTAATTATGTAGCCTTTGTCGGGGAGTAGGAGTTTACTATGCCAGTTTATAATGCCCTTTAATGCATGGGGCTGGAACACCTGAGATACCAGAATATCTGGGAGTTAGTACCTACTTACAGAGAATGAGATTTTGCCATCCAAGCTGTATCAGGGAACCCAGAGGGCTTCCAGTCACAAGCATGCATTTTCCAAATCAAGGATTCATCTGTCCACACAATATCCCAGGGCATTCTGAAGAACAGGTCTGTTCACAGGAAGGTGGTGGAAATTGAGGGACTAAGGATTATCACTCAGAATTTTCACTGGAAAGAATAGGGAAAATTTGGAAAATTATTTACTGAAGGTAATTACACTTTTCAATTGGACAAGTGGTTGAGACAAAACAATAAATCAGAGTGATTTATTACAGCTTGCATTTAGTTTTAAATTTGCTCCTTTGGTTACAAATCTGAAGCACAACTCATGGGCCCCAAACCTTGTCCATTTTCTGATTGGTCCAGGTTTGACAGTTTGAATTTGGCAAGTTTTTGAAATGATTCTTTCAGGAAAGTCATCCATCCTTCCCCAACATGAGGATGATTGCAGGGACAGAACTCAGCAGCACATTCATAAAATGTAAGCCTCTACTGATTCTTCTTTACTGGTTCTTTAGCATTAGACTGTCATGGAAAAATACAACTATCGTTTTTTACTGAATGGTTTTTGGCTTCAGAACTGGGTACCTGTGGCCTTCATAGTGCTTTGCCAATCTTCTTTGCGAGGAGACTTCTTTGAGCCCTTTAAATTTGTGTGTGTGTTGATAAATCTGCTCCACTGCCAGTACAACGCAGAGCCTGTGGAACACAAGCACTTGTGCACACTCATCTCTCCTGAAATCAGCTGAGCAAGCAGAGACATCCTTCACAGGCGTTATTCAGGACTACCTAGTGGAAACAGGTCTTTGTTTTCCCTCTTGCTCCTGGCTGCCCATTTCTGCCAAGGGACCTCAGTCCACTCCAGCTTCAAGAAGACCCTGCAAGTCCTTCTGTAGCAGCCAGGACTGCAAAGTAGAGGTGTGCTGGCTGATTTATACCTTTCACCCCTGGGCTCATTACTGACAAGCTTGCTACTACTCTGAAGTTAAAGAACTTGGACCTATATTTGAAATTTGAGTCTTTTACTTCTGTACAAGTTGTGCTGTCTTGCTGTAGCACCCTTGGACCAGAAGAAAGCAAGGTGGTTGAGACTGCAGAGAAAATAGGGAATTTTTTTTCTTCTTTCACAAGCCTATCTCAAACTGTTCAAAAACTGTATCAAGTGATTACAATACATCCCACTTCATGAAATTGTTACAATTACTTCTTGCACTACTCAAAACTTAGCTCATGGAAGAATTAAATTGCCTTTTATATGAAAGGCAGAAGGTTGATGCTTGCAGGTAGAACTAGGATTATTGTTAATGTATGAATTGTGGAAGCTTGTGCAGTGCACCAATCTGCAATGAATAAAAATCTTCATCTCTGAGAATGTTTCATGTTCCCTTGACCTTTGCAAATGCAAATATTCCCTGAGACATTAAGGAAGAAAACCTATGGATCAGCAAAAATTGCAGATGTGAGCACTAGTATCACTTGATGCTGTACTTGACATAATAAGGCCTACTCAAAAATAATGCTATATTCTGTAGTCCAATTGCAGAAAATACTGTGTGGTACTTTTGCACACCTCATTAACACATCAAGTGCTCAGCTCTTAAGAAGTGCATTAAGATGATGCATCTATTACTGGAACAAAGTCACTTACATGATTCATAACATTTCGTAAAGATATCAGTTGCTAAAATAATAGTAAATGACATGAGGATTTCCTAATAGCTTTAGAGTTCACCTAGGCAACAGTAAATAAACACGTGGGTATTATAGCAACTGCTGGTTAGATCGATGTGTTTATCTTTTAATCTCAGTTTTTGCTAGTATTTTGACAGGAAAAAGGGATTAAATGCACTTGTTTCTGAAATACACTGCTGGCTAAAATATGGCCAACATGACTGTAGCCCAAGAATAGCTACTGAGGGCCAATTACCTCAGTAATGAAAATCAGTAACATTCCCCAGACATGATTGCTATGGTGGGCTCTTAGGGCTTTTGAAGGAGAGATCACTTGCTTTAGGTGTCAGCTACACCACAACCCTTCATTTTAGGCACCTAGGTTTGAAAACTGCAGTCTGAAAAAGGCAATGCATTGGATAAGGTAGAAAGAAGGGAAATGTTTAGCCCTGTGACTCCCTTTTTCTGCACAGCCAAACTGTGCCCCAAGGCTGAATGTAGAACTATTCATAGTTGATTGTGGGAATCCCAAGCACAGAAAGCTCTCAAGGTCTTGTAAATACAAGCTCAGGCATAGACATGAACACAGGGTTTGATTTAAGACCATGGAGAAGGTTTCCAGATTTAGAATCATTAGCAAGAATGTGAGTTTAGATAGAAAAGACATTAAGCTAGGTTGTAGGAAAGTTTTAAGTTTTTAAAGTTAAGATACAGAAGTAGTTATAAAGGTAATAACTTTAAGGTGCAACAAATAGTCTTGTGTGTCATTATATGGTTGGTTAAGAAAGTCCAAGCTGTGGCAAAGATGTATGAAACAAAATAACTATTGGTGTGAAAGTAGAAACGTTCTTTTGTGGCAGAAGTTCATTGGCTAATTAACCTTTAAAAACCCCTGTAACCTGTGGTTTTGTGACCACTGACCAAGAACATCTGGTGAATATGGTGAAGATGCTCTCACAACTTCATGAGACTGTAGAAGAATAATAAATCATGCTTTAAGACGTCTCTCAGTAGTCCTGTCTCTCTTAAAATCCCAATAGGTGATGTTTTCCAAACCTTCACCCTCATGGGTTTTCCAGAAATGGGATAAAAGAAGTCAGCAAATCAAAAAGTGTGACAGAAGACATGTGATTTAATTTATCCTGAAACTTAAAATACGTCCTCCAAAAATCCTTGCATTCTAAGTTTTTCATTTAACACTAGTAATGAGTGGCTATTTTAAACAGGAAAGTGCTATTTAAAAGAATTAATATGAAATATTTTTTCTGATGGTTGTTCTAAAACTTATTAATTTTATATAATTTTCTAAAATAACACTAATTTATTTGGTGTTTTAGCTGCCCAAGATTTATACTTCAGGGAAAACAGGTGATTTCACCTATGTTTCCTCCAGCACATAAAATTATACAACCACTATTTTCCTGCTTTTTTTCCACTTCAAAATAGGAAAAAACCCCCACAAAACTAAATTAAAAAAACCCCAAATGCTATGAATGTGAAGTGGAAGAACAGGACTTGTAAATATACCAGTGCTGGCACAGTTCATTTAAATGTGCACTGTAGTTTTCATGACATCTAAAGATTTTCATGGTGAAGGGATGGCCAGACTATGGCTTAACACTGGCCTATATCACAACTGGAGGTTTCTGTCTACAGAAGTAGACCTAAGTACTGCACAGTCACCTCACCAGACTATTTATTCAGTTTTCCCTTTTGTGGAGATGTCAAATTTTGAATTTACAAGAGCAGATTTAGAAATAAAACTGTTTTGAGAATACTCACCCTATGGAGAAAGCATATGGTGTTCAGAACAACATAATTGTGTTCAGGAAGTCCTTGAATGATTTGTTTGCATCTGGTGACATGTAACAGCTCTCCACACCTGCAATGTCAAAGCCATCCTGAACTCTGAAGCATCATATTACCAAGAAATAATACCTTATTTAAATCTGCTGGAATTACTTTATAACCATCTCTGAAACTGACCACAAAATTCAGCTCTACTAACCACAGCCACAGTGATAGTGAGGATTACCCCTTTGAATGCCTCTGTCATATTTTGTATTATCATGTATCTGGCTAAGACTAATGTCCAGAGTATTTTTTCTTAATGCAGCAAAAAATAACAACCAAAGTATTTTTTTTTGCCTACACAGAAAAGGTCTTGATTTGAATCTCATTATCTCTCCATGCACTGAATTGAGGCATCTACATTTTATTCTCTGATTTTATTCTTGCTGAGACATAGTCCTAATCAAAACGCTATTTTGGTAATCTACTAACTGAAAAAAACCCAGTTTTGTCACTCTGCAGGAAATGCTTTTGTCTTGGTAAAAAAATTTTGAGACGGCCATCTGAGTGGCTGAGAATTTTCTAGAGATGAACCTAAGCAGGTTCATTTCTACAGATGGGCAAAACCAAAACTGGACCCCAAATTTCTTCCATCATCTAGACAGTCCAGGTGAGAATTACACCGACACATTTCAAATACTGTACCAAGTACTCTTTTTTTCCCCAAGGGATACTGTAATTATTTTAGTACTGTAAGTTTAACAACAATTTGGAGAAAGCTGTGATGATGTCAATCATGCCTAACCTAAAGCAGACTATTTTTGCTGATATTTTTCTGCATCTGTTGCATTTCTCTTTCTCTCCCTGAGAGTTCTGCACATGGATGAGTGCACATGCACAAAATTTCAGCATGTTAAGTGTTCATAAAGCATGGAATTAAATGCATGAAGCTTTACTACGATAAACTGTGGTGACAATTTTCCTACTGTTTCCTACTGTTCCCATATGTTCCCATAAAACACACTAGTCTAGTTAGTGTCCCAAGAAGTATTTTTGTCAGCCTTCTGCAGATTGAATAATGCAGGAAGTGTAGCAATCCTGAGTAAAAGAAATCTTGCTTGCAGTTTGCATGACCAAAGGTCATGAAACTTTTAT